CACGCCATTCTTCAAGCCGAACCCGAGGCGCAACCTGTTCGACTTGAACAGCAATTGCAGCAACGCCCCGTACCGACTTATGCCGATGCCGTGCGCCAGCCCACCGTGCATACTGCTTCGTTTGTAGCTCCCAGTGGCTACCGACCGGCTTCGCGTGGCTCAAACTATCCAGCTAATTCGAGGCCACGAAAAAGCGACGTGTGGCGCACACCCGACAGGACGCCTCTCTGTTTTCACTGCGGCGAAGCTGGACACCTGTACAGAATATGCCCATATTGACGAGTTGGTCTCCGTGGGTCTTCTCTAAACGCGCCATGCGCCCGAAATGGCGAAAGGCCCGTTGAAATTGAAGATTACTTGTCCGGCCATCTGTTTCCATCTGCTGGTTTCCAGCATCAGCTTAGATCACCAGCACCTGCTCGTTATCGATCGCCAAGCCCTCGACGATTTAGTTCACCTTCTCCACCTTCAACCTCAACACACCGTCGTTTAAGCAGTCCCCATCAGGAAAACTGAAGCCAGCGACCTATGGAGGCAAAGCCGCTGATGTCCGACCAACTGAAGATCCTCCGTCAAGGTCCGAGTGCAGCAACGACGAGCGGAACACTACAACTCGGTTAGGTAAAGACAAAATTTCTTCAGACTTACGCGTTACCGTAGACGGGTGTGAATTTACCGTTTTAGTTGACACAGGTGCTGATTATTCGGTTGTTAGTTACGCTGCCGCAAAGGATTTAAAGAAAGTCCTGACGCCTTGGAGTGGACCCCAGATACGCACGGCTGGGGGTCGTCTCATCACACCTCTGGGAAGATGTACCGCACGAAGAATCGGAATTCAAGGCGCTACTTACGTTGCTGACTTTGTCGTACTTCCGGAATGCTCTAGAGATTTAATACTCGGAATGGATTTTCTGCTAGCAAATGGAGCTATAATCGACCTGCAAAATTCTAGTGTCTCTTTTTCGACCAAACTGGCCATAGACACAAATGAGCCAGAATACACTGCATTACGTGTTATAGATTGTGATGTTACCGTGCCGCCACGATGCAGCGTAATAGTCGGTGCAAGAAATGAAGCATTCGTTGATTCTGAAGGTATAGCGGATGAAAATATCAAACTACTGCTCAAGAAAGGCATTTGTGTAGCTCGAGGCATTATTCAATTACGTGGTGGATGTACCGATGTATTGCTCACGAATTTCGGAAACGAAATTCAGCATGTTGCAAAGGACACTGCTATCGCCTTCCAGCACGGTTTTCAAACAGTGACGGACTTATGTGGTCTGGTGTCAGGGCCACCTACTTCGGAACCTGTGCCCAATGTCGTGGCAAGAGTTGCAATCAGCCAAAATCTATCCACAGCCGAGAAGAAAATCATTGAAGACCTCCTAAGAGACTTCACCGAATGTTTCTCTACCACGTCAAAAGTACGGCGGACCCAGGTTGTTAAACACCGAATAATAATAGATGAATTAAGCTACAAGGCTGGTACACCAAAATCCGTACAAAGTATCACCGAAGGAACTTGAGATCATAAAGAGCCAAGTGAAAGAGATGCTGGAGGATGATGTCATACAGCCATCCAATAGTCTGTGGGCATCGCCTGTAGTCCTTGTGAGGAAAAAGGACAACACGCTGAGATTCTGCGTTGATTACAGAAAGCTGAACAGCGTGACCAAGCGGGATGTCTACCCTTTGCCGCGTATTGATGATACGTTGGATCGGCTACGGCACGCAAGGTATTTCTCTTCATTGGATTTAAAAAGCGGTTATTGGCAAATTGAAGTGGACGAAAGGGACCGTGAAGAGACTGCTTTCGTAACCCCGGATGGTCTATATGAGTTTAAAGCACTCCTATTCGGCCTCTGTTGTGCGCCTGGAACATTCCAGCGCATGATGGACAGCGTCCTTTCAGGCCTCAAATGGCAGTCGTGCTTAGTCTACCTGGACGACGTTGTGGTGTTTTCAGCAACGTTTGAACAGCATGTAGAGCGACTACGTTCGGTACTTCAGGCTATCCAGTCAGCCGGCTTGACGATTAAACCGGAAAAATGCCAGTTTGGATTCGAGAAGCTTCGTTTCCTCGGTCATGTAATCATCACTCAAGGTGTTGGCCCGGACCCGGAGAAGACTGTGGCCGTGGGGCTGTTTCCCAAGCTGAAAGACAAGAAGGAGGTACGCCGATTTTTTGGGTTTATCTGCTTATTATAGGCGGTTTGTAAAAAATTTCGCGAAAATTGCCGAACCTCTAACAAGACTCGCAAAAGAGGACGTGCCATTTATTTGGTGCACCGAACAAGACAGTGCATTCAATGACCTAAAGAAACGTTTGCAAGCCCCACCTATCCTGGCCCACTTTGACGAAACCGCAGATACGGAAGTTCATACAGATGCCAGCAATCTTGGCCTAGGTGCGGTCCTGGTGCAATGGCAAAATAGAGAAGAGAAAGTGATAGCATATGCTAGCCGCACCCTCTCAAAAGCGGAAAGAAACTACTCTGCAACCGAAAAAGAGTGCTTAGCAGTCATATGGGTGATCAGCAAGTTCAGGCCATAACTCTACGGCAGGCCGTTCCGTGCTGTGAGCGACCACCACTCACTTTGTTGGCTGGCGAGCTTAAAAGACCCATCGGGACGGCTTGCGAGATGGAGTCTCAGGCTCCGAGAGTATGACATTACGGTCGTATATAGGTCTGGCAGAAAGCATGATGATGCTGACTGCTTATCACGTTCACCAGTCCACTCAACTCTTTCAGAAGAAGAGGACTTCCCACTCCTTTGTGTCATAAAAACCTCAGAAATTGCCGAACATGAACGGGCTGACATGGAACTGCTCCCATTAATAAAGTATCTCGAAGGGCACGACGAACACGTTCCTCGCATATTTAAGAGAGGGTTATCCTCATTCTGCCTCCGAGATAATGCACTTTACAAGAAGAATTTCGAACACAACAAGGAGAAGTTCTTACTCGTTGTACCATCAGCCATGAGGCATGAAGTCTTAGAAGCCTGTCATGATGAACCGTCTGCGGGTCACTTGGGAGCGAGTCGAACTTTCGCCAAAATTAATCAGAAATACTACTGGCCCAAGTTGCTAGCGTCCGTGAAGCATTACGTCAAGACATGTCGCGAGTGTCAAAGGCGAAAAACACCACCCCTAAAGACGGCCGGCCTTCTCAAGCCTATAGAGCCACCAGCGACTCCATTTCAACAGGTTGGAATTGACCTCCTCGGACCATTTCCAATGTCGGCATCAGGAAAAAGGTGGATAATAGTTGCGACTGACTATTTGACACGATACGCTAAAACCGGCTGCCTTGAGCGAGGAACGGCAACGGAAGTCGCGAAGTTTTTCGTTCAGAATATTGTTCTTCGCCATGGAGCCCCACTCGTCGTGATTACCGATCGAGGAGCAGCGTTCACGGCTGATTTGATGCAGTCCTTAATGACAATGACTAACACCAGCCATAGGAAGACCACTGCATACCATCCCCAAACCAACGGGTTGACAGAACGCCTGAACCGCACCATCGCCGACATGCTGTCGATGTACGTTGACATTGAGCATAAATTGTGGGACGAAATCTTGCCATACGCAACTTTCGCCTACAATACCGCCGTGCATGCAGGAGACCATCCGCGTCACACCATTTCAGCTGGTCTACGGTCGCACTGTCACTACGACACTCGATGCCATGTTGCCAGTGGACAACGACAATTACGAACCATCTGAACTTGACGACTTTCTGCAAAGGGCTGAAGAAGCACGCCAGTTGGCACGACATCGAATACATCAACAGCAAAACAAGGACGCAAGCCACTACAACCTGCGCCGCAGAAAAGTTCAGTACAACCCAGGTGAGCGAGTGTGGATATGGACACCATTCCGACGCCGCGGCCTATCAGAAAAGCTTCTTTGTCAATGCTTTGGCCCCTATAAGGTTCTCCGACGAATAAGTGACCTAAACTACGAAGTCATCGCCGATGGACACATCCGTTCAAAGCGGCAAATCAGCGCAGAAGTCGTGCACGTCGTTCGTATGAAGCCCTATTATGAGAGGAAATGAAAACGCTCCCTTTCTCTGTTTGCCTCCCTCTATCGCGCATCGGGAGGATGCGTATTTCGAAGGGTGACTAATGCCACAGAGACTGTTTACAATATCCAACATAAAGAAGAATCAGCGTCCACAGTCTTGTGCGCACTCTTGCTTGGGGCCGCACGACTCATGCCTCTTCTTCACAGGCACGAGTTAAAGTGGGTTGGAGCTGCGAAGAAGAAGAAGGCGCGTTGGCAGATGAACAGTTTTCGTTTTGGAACGCTCTAGCTAACTCCTCCATCTTTTCGCACATAATTTTCAGGGCACAAGTTCGCCCATAATAAACTAGTTTTGACGTTTCTTCTCTTGCACCCGTTACAATATATCGATAATCCACTTTGCAATAGTTCTGCATCACTAGTTTTGGAACGTTGAGCCGCATCAGTTTATTATTATTATTATTATTATTATTATTATTATTATTATTATTATTATTATTATTATTATTATTATTATTATTATTATTATTATTATATAACCCTATAGACAGGGCAGACGCGAAGTACCAGCCGATATTATTCTTCGCCAAAATGAAGCACGAGTACAACACCCTTTGCTGTTTTGCTAGTGGTGCTGGACAGGCTGGTGTTCATGTCTCGATGGTGTGATCGTGTATATGTTCCTGTTCGGCAACGAACTAAATTATTTCTTTTGTACAGTGTTCTTTGTCTTAGCCTTCATTGAGGCTGGCATCAGATTAACGGCAATTCAGTCTCAGGTTACGTATGACTTCATGGGTACGTGTTTGGGACAAATAAATAGCCAGGAGTTTACTAAAATATATGTGACAGTGGTTTATTGCGCAAGGACGTTGAAACCAGATCCGAATAGGGTTGTTTCAAGAGTGAGCTAGCTTGAGCGTTTACGTCAGGCGTTCTTGTGACGAGTCCACCTTTCCTTTATCTCAGAAGTTGACCGTCTGTACCACCAGTACCTCGTAGTCTGAGTAGCAATGCTCCTCGCCACCGTACGGGATGGAGAGGCAGCGGCGCGAAGGTTGCACTTTGCCGATGGTGAGTGTTCCCTCGTGGTAGGCACGGCCGATGTAGAGTGGCTCGCCCGAAGCACACACGCCGCCCTGGACGGCGCCGGTGGGAAGTGCGCCGTCGGAAGCCGGCACCCAGGACAACGGAGTGCCATCCGAGATGAGAGTCTGCGAAAAGGTCAGCGACCGCATTCGTCACATTGGATATCGCTTGACTATGCGCTGTGTTGTTGTCGTGTGCATGCGTTTTTGTTCATGTTGAGAGAGAAAAAAAACTAACGTGCTTACATTATTTTCGCGATAGAAAGTTTCTACCACAAATCCAGCAAACTTATAATAGAAACGTTTCCTTTTCTTTCTTTTTTTTTCGTAAGTTCTGGCAGTACCTGTTGCAGCTCGCCCAAGCCGTATTCTCAGTTGGCTGTCGCATTGCCACCAAGTCGCTGCAGATGTTCGTCTTAAGCAACCAAAGGGCATAGGCTTGCGCAATGTGGTCCATTTTGGGGTAGATGGGGGCAAGCTTCACAGAAGTGCCCCCTCTCCTCCTTCGTCGAATACGAAAGGTAACAAGCTCCGCAACGAATGCAAACGAAATTGAAGCCATGACTCACTTCTCAAAACGACCCGCCAGTGGTCCTCTTTTTTTTTCTCGGAAATAAACCATTCTTGGCATGCAACATCAATGGCGCTCGATTTCCCTTATAGTAGAAATAATGTGGTGCCATAATTGAGCACATAAAATAATTACGGCGTGGTTGCGATAGCGAATATTTATTAACTGATATTTACAGAGGTGATAGGAAAAGCAGCCCCTAGTGAGTCCGCTCTCCTACAGTATCAGGTGTTGTCCCTAGTCAGTCTGACTGAGCAAAGCCAAGGCGCACAATTAGTGCTCCACTTTAGATAATTAGAAGGGTGACACCTCCCCTATTTTGTGCACATGCTCGTGGCAAAGAGACAGCGGTTGTATTCAGCTACATTATGTTATAAACATATTTAGTGTAACATGCTGTTGCAAGATCCGATCGGTACTGATACCTTGCATTATGCCGATGAATGACATTGATTCGGTGATAACGCGATGGCTTGTTGAAAAGACGGCTTGGGCGAGAATTTCTAGACTGAAGAAACTTTATTACTGCTGTTACCCTCGATATTCACAGCAGGAAGACATATAATAAACGCACGCCCCAGCTCGTGCCATGGCATACAGCACATGCATCTACTTAAACATTTCAAGCTGGTACCACGCCGTACGGCAAACGCTTCTACTAAAGCATTGTTGAATGGGGTTCAAAGACGATATTAGGTGTTCTTGTAGACATTACACAGATGTCATTTTCCAATGTAGAAGTTTGATGGCGGGAAAGAATGCTTGACATAACGTTTTTTTTGTCTTTTTTTTATTATTCACACGATCACCGTGTGACACTCTTGTTCGTCTCCCAAGCACTTTTGGTGGACCGAATTTTCAGAAGAAGTCTTCTGAAAGATATACAATTTCAGTCGAAGTTACAAGTTATATTAGATAAATATTATATCGGAGCATAAGTCTACTTAAAATAATTAAGGACCAATAATTGTCAGAATAAATAATGAAGATTAATAAATGAATTTGTCATTGAACGAACAGGTGCGTTTCTTGTGAACAGCTTATAACAGCTTAAGAGCCATGAAGGCTCCCCAGAAAAGCTGGGATCACTGCAACACCTGGCAGACCAGATCTCATCCACGTGTTTCTTTGTGCGTAACCTCTGAGATCCACTTCGTCAGTGCCACGAAACCCAACAAATATACCTGGGTACAAGAATGCCGATGTGCGAGTGGCACTGTCAGATGCCTAATTCGAGGATTAAAGTTGCCTCGAACTAATTTTTTTTTTTTACTGCTGCCAATGTGACGAGGCCCAAGCAAGAAACTTTCCGAGCTGTACTGAACCTGGTAGTCCCTGTGGCTGTGCTCGGCGCCCTCATACGCGACGTAGCAGCAGCTGTGAGACGGCACCACCTTGCCAGGTATCACCTCGCCGTTGTGCACAGCGCGGCCGATGTAGATGGTCTCTCCGCTGTCTTCACCGCCGGGCACCGCGTTGTACGGAATGCGGTTCTCGAAGCATATGACCCACTCGCACACGGGCCTGTATGTGGGTGCTGCGAAACGGTGTTAAGCCTGTCAACACCGCATAGGCTTCACTGTCAATCGCTGTCAGATTTCCACATAATGTCTGCACTTGAGAGTGCTAAAAGCTCCTATAAGATATTCTACTTCATCACGCCCTAAGCACATTTATAAGAGCCTTGTTTTTCTTATGTCCAGCACAGGATCTGTCTTGTTGAAATTTATTTTTCCAGGGGAGCTTTTTTTGGATGTGCATTATCTGTTTCGTTAAGAGATAAAGTCAGTGACAGTAGTGTAAAATACATTAAAACTGATCCCCGCCCTTACTCCACTTCAAGTATTCAGTACGGCAAATGGCGTTTCTGCTTTAGAACGTCCATTCACTGACGTAGCAAACCTATTAGTAGAGCACGAAAGGTCGCAATTTCTCTCAATATGATCGGAAGGCATCAGAAGCATTGTTCACCATGCAGAAGCGCCGGTGTGTCCTAATTCATGCAGAATCAAGATAACTGAGCGCTGTGATGTTTCTTTTTTCTTTTTGCGATGTTGAGCTCGTCGTGCACGTGGCATATACATGTTGCGAAGTGGTGGTTTGTACACGCATACTCAATGCAGACACTATACAGAGTAGACACATCATCAATTAACGCAACAATAATTCATCGCTTTTCATTTCGCCATGATATCATTATTTCGCGCACCGTTTGCTTTTAATTCCATGTGTCGTAACGTCCGATATGACTGCTTCGATTATAGCTATAAACTCGGAATTGAGGTCATATATTCTACGCATTGTACGTAACTACAATGGAGGATCAAAGTAAAGTGCAACAAGCGAGTGGGGCCCATTCACCGTGTGCAGTGTTGTGTGCAGTGACCTGTGTGTCACCACGTATGCCTGTAGTCCAACGATACTGAGTACTTGGGGAAACTAGCCATCGTGTGCAGGGCTGCACGTATGCTCGATAAAGAGAGATGTGTCAGAGTACATCCCTGTAGATACCATAGCTCATTTTTTTTCCTGTTTAGCGTATATAGCGCACGGTATTGCTTCCTCCTCCATCGACCAGCCAACATCACAAATATTTTTCTTTTTACCACATCGGTGTGAAGGAGATACGTAGGCTGAACAGGACTGCAGGAAAGATCGAAAATCTGCTGCTTCGGGAATGCTTTGGGATCGTGCGGCATTCCACCGCACATGCAGGTTTACTCACTGCAGACTTTAATGATGTGTGTGTTCCTTCTCATAAAACCTCGTTGCCGGTGCTCTTCAACTCAATACGTGATGGTCAGCTCTCTTCAGCGGTTAAACGCCTTTGTTTCAGTAGGTAATTGATGAAGATATACCGCGCTACGATTCAAAGCCATGCTTCATGCGGTTAGTTTGTCATGGAATCATAGGATTGCTCAGCGTGCATGTTCTGCTCCTGAGCGTGAAGTCGCATGTTCGATTTCCAGCTATGGCGATGTTGTGATGGGGCCGGAATATAAAAGCCTATGTCAACCGCAGATGTATCCAATCAACCCGATTAGTGACCCCAGAGTCGTGGGAGTCACTCCGGCGTGCCTCCGAGCTGCGGTGGATGATCCATGCGTGTGGTGGATGCCGCAATATGCCAAGGGATTCCCGACGACCTTATCTAAGCCTGCGCGACCAGTATTAAGACTGGTCCTTTCTTTTTGAGCGTGATAAAGAGACCATTACCATCACCAATTAACCCAATGCCACGCCCTTTCCTCTTACCATCAGCGGCCCCTCTAATATAGCCTGGATGTTTCTATGAGCCGTTCAGTCGTTCTGTATAAAGTGTGCTCGGACTGCAGTTACTGAGTAAGATGAAATCTACATGAAAGCTTGGTGGGTTTCACAGCTCTAACGCTTTTTGAAGCAATGTTGATGGAAGCGCCTAGATAAAGAAAGCACAAGCTTATCACATGCAGCACTATCACCCGCCAACTCTTTCACTGCTGCGAGCAACATATAACCGTCACGCTGCTCCGGAATGAATGCGTCGACAGGCGAGGCATGCTTTGAGGATATTCTGAAATCGTTATATACCCGAGAATCGCCGGAAACGTGTCGATAAAAACCCGTGCACGGGAACATTCGGCCACGCACACAGTTTTCTCGCGGCGTTCCGCGTTAAATTAAAGGTGCACTCAGGTTCGTAGGAGGAGTATCGGGCAATGAAAAGAGGACACGATTGTTATACTGAGAGTGGCGTCCATGGCTTAATTAGCTCGCCATGTGTTGGTGTGAGTTAAAACTGACAAAGTGTGAAGTAAACACAGTCAGTTCGCTCTGGGGTTCAACACGTGCACTGCGTCAGTGGCGAAATGCAGGCAGTCCGGAGATATATATATATATATATATATATATATATATATATATATATATATATATATATATATATATATATATATATATATATAGTATGTGTGTGTGTGTGTGTATAAGAAATAGAGAATGAAAACCTTCGTTGGTTTGGCACTGTATAGTTTCGCTAAAATTGCGTCTGGTGGAGGACCAGACTTTGTTCATAGCTTGGTCCACCAGATGAAACGTTAGTGAAATGTACAGTGCAAAACGAAAAAAAAAAGTCGTTACTCCCTCTCTTATTCTAACGGGGTCCAATAATCTTATTTCCCACTATATATATATATATATATATATATATATATATATATATATATATATATATATATATATATATATATATATATATATATATATATATATATATGGGGGGCGGGGTTACGTTTCGAGGATCCGGAAATGAATGAGCAATGCAAAGTGCAGACATACAAAGAAAAAAAAATGGTTTGATGTTTCCACAAGTTTGGTGCCTATTATAGGCGAGCATAATAAAGATGATACGAAAACTAACGGGATAAATGATACATATAAAAAACGAAGCTCACCGAATAGCATTGTGCGTGGCTGCAAGTGGTCCCCACTCACGCCCCTGTAGTTCCACGCCCCTTTTTATTAGTATGAGTCTACGTGTGAAGACGCTGTGGCGTGATATAGCCGTTGGCAAGATCAGAAAACTAATTAAGTGTTCGTAGTGCTTTTAGCGCAGCGGCTGCAATGCGATAAGTGTGAAAAAAAAAAGGAAGTAAGGTAAGTCCACATACGTAGCTGAACGCACTAGACGGTTCTGCGTGCAAATATTAAGGAATCCAGAGTGTTCAGAACTCACCTCCGTAAGCGTCCATTTCTCACCGGGCGAAGTGAGCCGTCAAGAGACAGGAGTGCTTTGACTGGCTCGGGATGACGCCAATAAATAGAGGCGTACGGAGATAAGGGAGGCCCAGAAAGCGCTGATAACGCTCTCGCTGAACAGTTTGCTGTGGCAAGGCTCCACGTGGCGTTCGAATACAGCGGGCTCGGCTTGGCTAAGTAATATGCCGCGCCTGTTCCTCGTTTTGCTGTCCCCTGAGATGCGATCATGACCGTTATTCGCACTCTTAAGAAGAAAGAAGAGTCATTTGACTCCTTTTTCTGCCCCGGCAGGTGGCAGCTGCCGGCTGCTATATTCCTGTTTTTTCTGTGTTCTCGTGTATATGTAAATAAATAAATAAATAAATAACTAAATAAATAAAACGCTGTCTAAAAAGACACGTAAACACTGTTTTAGAAATTCGTGTGACGCGCGACTCTTCGAAAGGAAGTTGGCGGGTCTCGTCAAAGAGATTTATACATGTGGGGGTTATATACATTGCAAAAATATTCGAAGGACTCTTAGTTTTTTTTCATTAGAATGTGTGAGCTTTTAAGCAGCGCTCCTCCCGAGATAGCTCGGTGACGGCGAGCTCTTATCTCTGTGGACGGATAGCTATGTATCTGCAGGGCCCACTGTATACGTTCGTATCCACGTATCTACGTAAGTGGTAACCTTCTGAAAAAAGAAAGAGAAAAGAACAGCGCCAATTTACACACGGACAAGACACATGATTGCGGGCGCTGCCTCGTCCGTGTAAATGAGTGCCTTTTTAATTTTTTTTTTAAATGCAAAGCAGTCTAGGCGTATTCCAAAAACTTTTGGCGTCTGTGTGTGTGTCTTTTTATCTATCTAGCCGCTAGCTTGTATGCGTCTGGGTGCTCTCGTGATCACCCCCACAGCTTGGCGTGAACCAAAACTAGTTTGGGAGGGTAAGACGCATGGTTTGATGAATATGACGCGATAATCAGGGCATGAATAATGTCAACAATCTTGCCTAGTACGTCGCCAAACACTTCCCGCCATACAGCGGCACATACCCAAAGGACGCGTATGTGCCACTGGTATGCAGGTAACAGGAGCTTGGCAGTATCTACACAAGAACGACAGGAACACACATGGACAATTTTAACGCGTGAGCGTTATGAAAAAAAAAAGGCAGTTGCTTAGCTCAGCTATGCGGATATACGTAGCGTTAGCAAAGGTTCAGCTGATTATTCTTAGCTTTCCAGAGTGTCCAGGATTAGCTTGATTATCACGCTTACTGCTGCTGCACTGACACACGTATATTTATTTTTCCGGGCAACTACTTCGGGTTCCGATGAGTTAAGCTTCTCCGCTCTACTGCACCGTTGAGCAGCGTTTGCACTCTCCTTCTCCATGGCTATACCACAGGGGCAAACGCCAGTCAGAGGCGCTATCAAGCAGCTCCAGCGCAGTGTCAGATGGCGACTGCACAAGGAAGGCGCACCCATTAGCGTCCATATGTCTACCAAGGCTATGACGGCCCTCCTCTGGAAAGCGCACACCGGCGGCGGCGAGTCGCTCGCGGCCGCGGCCGAGTGCGAGGGAGGTGCCGGCTCCGGTGCGTGACACCACTGATCATCTGTGCAGCGTATCTAATTGCGCGCACACCGGCGGCGAGCCGCGCGCGGCGGCCGTGGAGTATCATTGCGCATGCGCAGACCAGTGCCACGCAAAATTGGCTCAGCGAGGCCAGTGTAGCAAACGCTACAAAACCTGATGTCGGCAGCGTTTACCCGACGAATGCAAAGAATAAATGTCCGGGTCCCAGCAGGAAT